ATTAAAATTTTTATTATTCTCGGTCTATTGTTTTCTTCTTGAAAAAAACTGTGCAGTGACCATAGTATGAGGTTGTCATACACTTACCATTGCGTTTGTATAAAGTGGGCAAACAGTCATTGTATGTTCCTACCTTGTTGATCACAGGCACCGGCTTAGCTATTGTTGACCACATGGCCATATAGATTCTCGTATCAATTTTCTAGATAAATGTTGATTGAATCGATGTGATCTGCTTACGGGCAACACCCTCCTTCCGAAATAATTTCAAATCTGCTTAAAAGTAAAAGAAGTTGCCTCATGACCTACCTACTAGCCAGCACTTTTATGCGATATTTCCAGCAAATAGTCATCTGTTAGATCTGTAGACTTTGAGACATAGATGTTTAGTATATTATCGTTAGTGGACATATACATTCAGAGTTGGTTGTATTTTTTTATAGCTTGGACCTCTGGCAGCACTGACTCGATGTAATGTCAACACATATCGAAAGCCAAAACTAATAATGAAGACTTTTTTCATCATATATATATATATATATATATAGAGGATGGAAATTCCATTTATTTTGCAATTTTCAGGAGCAAAAATTCATGGGTAGAACTACACGTATCATCCGAATTGTCCGCAAAACCGAATCGCTTTGGCAGACAGATTATACTCTACACTTGCCGGTATCAGCTGTTAAATGTTAGTTGTCATTAGCTCTTAAAGATTAGTGAAAGGGTTAATATTAAACGTTATGGAGAACAATTAGTCGCCTTAAACCCGCTTGCTGTTGAGAAAACGACCCGAATATTAAAAAAAGCAACACAAGCTTGTTGACGTTGGAAACGTGCAACAGAGATGAGTACATGCGGTTTACTCACCGTACTCGAGTCTTTTTCAACCCGGGTGGTTGCGTCGACAGGCCACACACTTGTGGAGCACCACTTTGGTTCCATGAACGCTTTGCGGCATCAAGAGAAGATTCTTAACTTTAAAGACATGTAATGCATAGATTGCCTGCAAAAATTTATACTTAGCGTTGGAGCACATTTTAAATGAACCACTGAAACGTGCGATTTTTGAAAAACAAATCGTCATTTCGTACTTGTACACATGTGTATTTGATTTGGAGAGAGCACATGTTCGAGAGAGCAGGTTAGAATAGATTTCTACCCCTAAGGGGTATATAAATTTCTGACTTATGCGATTCTCTCACTTATGATACATATACATATTTTTAACCTTCAGCGTCATTCCAGCAACAGGATTTTTTTTTTTTTTTTTTGTTAGACACAAAGGTAATAAATATCACTTTTCTAAAGTTTCGTAAAAAAGAAAAAAAAAAAAATGTTAAAATACTTTAATGAAAATTTATTAGAAAAAGAATTAATCTCGTCCTTTTTTTTATTCTCTGTTTTTTCTTTATTTTTCTTTCACATTTTGCCAAATAAAACCATAAAGTCATGATCATGGTCATACGTATGAACGCTCGACTCTAGTAAATAAAGGGAAGTCTCTTAATAAACAACCTTAAGTTGATTTTTTTGTGCAATTTCTTTAGTTTTCCTTCATTGTGTTTTTCTTTTTACTCTAGTAAAGTTTTGAAAAGAGATGCTTGTGCCAAGAAACGAATAAACGAAAGCATCGATAACCCTAAGGCAGAGAGCAAATATAAATTCTTTTGAAAACTAAAAAGCGGAAAAATAACTTTGGCCATTGATTTGAAACGCAGGCAAAAATTTTTCGCATACTTTTCGCTTCAGAGCAATACTTTTCCCTCTCATGCTTTTACTAAACTTTCATTGTGTAAGCGTGTCGCACTAAGCGCTTGCAATGCATCATTAAGTAATTTTGCAAATATTTTGTCTACACAAATTTCCAACCCAAAGACACCGTTATTTATTGCTATGTGTGTTGGTGTGCAGACAACAACACTGACTTACTTGATAATGAATTTCAAGTGAAATTGAATTCTTTTGTTTTGCTTTTTTGCCCCTCATTACTTTACAATTCTTTAGGTTATTTCTTAAACTTGGAACTATTATGTCTATGCCAATGGGTTTTCACTGTTCAATTGAATTACGATTTTCTCTCGTTTGTCGCTTTTCTTTGACAAATTATTTTATGCAACGGATTTGTAAAAAGCAATTCGTTGTTTATTCTACGACTCAACGAAGAATTCTGTTTTAACAAAATTTGTTTTTCTTTTCTTTTATTTATTTATTTATTTTGCAATATGTTTGGAGAATCATAGAAGCGTAATGGTTTTGACGGTTGATTTAAATTTCGTTTAAATCTCTTTAGTAAATACTATTCATTTAATATAGTCTTTAAACGATAGATATTCAAGTTTTGATAAACTTGGGTAGAAAGCTACGACTTACATCGTAGATTATTTTCGTTCCTTTTCTTCGTTAGTTAGTATGCTAATGTCCAGGTCGAGTTCATTTCATTTCTAAATGAGTGCGGCTTTAGCTATCATTCATCTTCAAGATTTCGTAAATGCTAACAGCATCAAGTCGTTTCGGCATCTCACACAATATAAATATACATAATAAATGATCTTTCTTTATCCTTTGAATCGATGATAATAATCTGGTAAAAAAAAAAGTGATATCATGATGCTAGTTCGACTTTATTTCGGCAGTTTAGCCTCATAGGAACAAAAACCGTTGCAAACTCAGAACCAGATAACCAACTACAGGATGATCAAATAAGAGTTTTTTTCTTTTTTTTTAACGCAATACTGTCCATGTCTTGTTTCTCTTCGCATTTCTGTCAAAATTGACATTTGTGTTTACTCCTATTAGTCAAATAAATGGGAAAATGTATATGCATGTACAAGGTACAGGACGGGCTAAACTATGGTCAACATAAGGGACCTACAAAATTTACTATTTGTAATGTAACCGAAAAATGGAGTCAAATGACAGTGTGTGTGTGTGTGTGTGTGTGTGTGTACGATGTTAAGAATTCAAAAAGGCTTTCGGTGTAGCGTGAACCAAAACGTAAATTAACCAACCTACAGAAATAGAATGCTGGTGGTTTTAACGAACAACGTATAGTTTCTTAACAGAATTAGTTTACTCCGGGAAAAGGTCAGTCAATGATCCCGTAATCTCCAAAAATGCCGATATGAGGTTGCCACCAAGGCGATGCAACATAACGCAAACAAACCACAAGCTTTTAAAGATCTTCCTTTCAAGGATTGTTCATGTCATTGGCGAATAAAAGGAGGTTCACATGGAAAAGTAATAAAAAATTGATGCTCCAGAAATTGAATTTGTGCAAAAATCCAGACGCTCTTATTAAAGTGAAATTATTTTTATTTATCTCCTCTTACTCTGTGTTACTTTTATTTTACATTAAAGGCAAAAGCTCTTCTCTGTTTGTTCTATTCATCCTTGGGAACTACTCCTCTTATTATCAGAAAACCTCAAGAGGCCATTATGAAGGGCATCGGTTGAGTTGAATTTTCTTGCTAATCGATCAATTATTCAGTGATGTTAACAAAGATCATAAATCGTAAATAAGGTGTTAAGATGTCACGTACAGCTTACGTGACCGAAGGAAATTGTGATAAAAACGCTTAATTATTCGCAAACACACACATCATGTGCCACAATAAATTCAAGGACCTCAAGCAGTTGAAATGTCAAGGAAAATTTGAACTAACATCGAGTAAACGAAACAAAAGTGAAGCGAATCCATCGGAGAGCTACTTAGCTACATGAGGAGAATCGTTTGCGTTCTTTTTATAACGCTCGGAAATAGCCTCTAAGTGATATATATAAAGTCTGGATTAGCTTAAGATTCCGCATTGATTAAGCTCAATCCGCCCAGTTAGCCAAATGTGCATCTACTTGTTCGGTTCAATTCCGTTTGTAATTCGGCGAAGAACGTGTTCAAGTGCTTCAGAATGTATTGAATATAAATGAATTTTGCAAGGGTTTGCGTAGCAAATTTTTGGAAATATATTCACGGTATACCAAAAATCTTATAGACATAAATCTGAAGAAATTATTAATGTTCCTTTGAATTTGTCTTGGGGGCGTTTACAAGGCCAAATCACAGACATTTGATAAATCATGGCTTGTTAATCAATCAGGGAATGCTTGCATCGAATCTCAGCTTCTTTTCCATTTCATAAAGAATCTGGGTCAAGTTCATTCACTTTGTTACAACTAAGTAAATGTCATGTCTGTCTAGAAAACTAGACCAGGTAGAGAAATTGTAAGTATATATAAATACCATATTTAACGGTCCAACCAAACAATTTTGGAATTTTACATAGGCTCAAACTATGAAACAAAGGGTCCCATTGACCCATGTGATGGTTCTAGTGGTAATAAATCTTATGTAGCATTTTGGGGAAGACAGATGTCGAAGATGCCTATTAAGGCGAACATCATTTTCTTATTTATTTTTATATCATTAAGATTATTGACTACGTGCGTCTATATGGCGTAAAAGAACGCTAGGGTCACGATTGCCCTTATTTTTGATTGTCCCAACATGTGAGCGGCTTCACCTCATTTGAACTATCACAGAAAACCAATAGATTTTTTTTTGTTTATTTTCGGTTAATAGCAATTTGTATACTTTTATATATAAGTGCAGACATACGAATGTATGCATAGCTAACAAAAGGTTCTGTAGTTGCTATGCATCAATTTTAGCAATACATGAACGTATACGGATTCATTTTCTTTCGTTACTCCGAACATAATTTTCTATTGTTTGCGTCTACTCTACTACCATGTAAGGATTGTGTATATTTTATTTTTATAATTGCGATGGATTTTCGTGTTGATGGTGTTTGTTTAATAAATTGCAAAGTTCCTCTGATGTGTTGAAAACTTTTGATTGAGTGAAATTTTTTTTCTTTTTTTTGTTTTAAATTTTGCCCAAGATTACTTTAGCTTCTCTTTTTTCTTTTAAATAAACATTTATTTTAGAGATATTTTAGTAAAATAATGATAAAATGAAATATTGGTTAAGCTTAACGTACCGTATTCAGGTTAGTGATTTTATCCAATTCCACAGCAGCACTGCCGCGATGGTGTAAATGCGGTATATGAGGTGTTGTCAACATTTTATTAATTAATTTATTTTTGATAATATAAATAAAAAAAAAGAAACAACAAAAACGAAAAAAAATTACTCCTGAAAGGTGATTTTAAAAAATTATTTTTTCTTTATTTCGTTGACACATGTGTTGTCTGGACATGCTCACTGATGTTTTATTGTTCTCAGTGGTTGCTGTTTTGCTTTTGCTTTATGCTTTATTTATTTTTATTTACTTTACAATTCAGTTGTTTATAGTTATATATCATCTTTTTTATTTATTCAAATATCAATGGCATAAGTTGCCTTAAATGACATTATTTCGTATCAATTTCTCGTTAGTCATTCATCTTTTTTCATCGTTTGCGATTTCCTTATTTTTGTTTTATCTATCTTCACAGAGGGATGATTCCGTTTATAGATTCAACACTCCGCTTACTCATCTGCTCATAGTTGCTTATTTAGTTCTTTGAATGGCATTTTCAATCATTTGTCATTTTCTGAAGAGAATGATATATAAGTGATATGATGTGACGGACACACAAACATCCACACACACACAATATACCTACATATACACGTGCATGAGTTTGTGTACAAGTGTGCTTATTGTTTTGTGTGTGGTACTCTGCAGTAAGAATGCCTCTACTATGTTAAGTGCGTGGCACTTGTAACACACTTTTCGCTACACGTACGAAAAGATGACACTACTCGTGTATGCGTGCGAATGACACTTGCAATCTATGTATCTTCTTGACAAACAATTTAACGGCTTTCATACAAGTATGCTTAGGTACACATAATGCGTATAGATAGTAACTTACGTTACGTTGTGGCCTACTAAAGGGCTGACGCTAAGTTTATCAAGCTTAGGTTAGGTTTTCTATGCGTTTGGCAAACTTAGTTCACAGAGTAAATAATTTCTTGATCCCCTTGTTAAAGGAAGTGCTCATCTGCCATTCTGTCGCCCTCTTGTAATTACATTTCTTTCTCTGGGAGGACTTAGCTTACAACTTGTCCATTTCAATCTAAGAGCAGTTAGTATAAAATTCATTTCTTTCTTTTTAATCCGTTCGCTGCCAGGCAAATTGAGACCGCGTCTTGTGTCATGTGCTTACTACGAAATGGATTCAACTGGAGTTTGTAAACTGTTTTCTTTTTTTTTTTTGTTGCATGGAATGCGAAATAAGAAGAAAGTCGCGATATTGGCCCTTACCCATAAAAGGCATGGCAAGCAAACGCGATTACATACATTTTACACTTCTGTGTCGACTATACACCAACATGGTATTATTATTATTATTATTATTATTATTATAAATTTAGCCAGAGAATAAATTCTAAGACTAAAGTCTTAAAGCACTAGCATCTAGGGCTATCGGCTGTTATTAAAAAACTCTACCGCACTTGAGGTTTGAACCCACGACTATTCAGTTGCTAGTCGAGACTCTTGCCTACTCGGCCACTCAGGCGGATCACCAACATGGTATTTCATGCATAGCCTTCCATATCGACATTATAATATTTCAAAACGAAAAAAAAAAAAAAAAAATAGAAGAAAAAAAGAGTACATTTTTAAAATTACTAAGCAGGCGATGTCATCTAAAACTGATAAAAAAGTTTTTTTTTTTTTGAGGTTCTTCTTCTCTTTACATTTTAACAACCAATTTTCCGAAAGTTTGTTAAACAGTTGCCTCGTTTCCACGTGTGTTGAAAGCGGTTATAAAATACGGTTCGTAAGGCTTCTTATTTTTTCAAAGAAAAAATGACTAATAGGTTGAGCTATGTCTAGCCAACTTTTAAAATATTCAATTAATATTAAAGCTGGCAAAAGTTGGAGGTCAGCGAAAACTGGAACAAGAACGAGGTATTTGAGTGTATATAATATTTACAGGGGGACTGCCTATAAGAAAATTTTAATTAACGTATATTTCTTTCGCATTAAAACTTTTGATTTGCAATTTGGATGCTGCTTGTTCGAAAATATGATTTACTTTTACTACTCAATATGAGGCAAACACAAATATTTGCGAAAGCAACGGAAAAGTTTTAATTTTTTACCAAAGACAAGGATGTTCGGTTTTTAAGAGTGTAATAAAGATGTTACGTGGTTTGCAATTTATTTTCACTTTATTCATCAGCTTGCCGTTTCACCCCCTACTTATATGCAACATTTTTTTACAATTTAGCGCAACTTTTAAAGAAGACTCAACATTTGCTAGGGATAATGGTTTACATTTTAAGTTTGGCGTTTTAATTTTAGTTTGCGCGGATTTAGCACTAAAATCAATGAAATGCACACCGTCGGGCAAGCCGACCATGAAGTGCTCTACATCACTATTCTCATTTAATTTCGTAATAAAAGATTACAAATTTTACCTTGTTACCCGGCAAGAACATACCTTGAATGGGAAGCGAGATCAAAATTACCATTTATATGTATATATATATATGTATGTATGTAAGACGTTGTTCAAAGTTAATAAATTTCATTTTCTTGTCAGAGATCTGCTTATTCCTCATCTGTGTTCGTCATAAGGTATTAAAAATTAGATTTGGTTCTCATATGAAGATCTTCTCCACAATCTTTTTACAAGTCGGAATCTACAAAATAAACTTATGTGGTCTAAATTTGTCGCAGTTCATTTCTGTGTCAAACTATTATTAGGGATTAATTTCGATCAAAAGGCATTGAAAAGTGTATTTCAGGTTCTCTTTGAAATGTAAATCATATTCTCGCACACAATGTTATTCTTCATTGACTTCTGCATCGATTATCTAAGCCAAGAATTCCATTAAAAAGTTGGATCTTTCCGCAAATAATTGCAAAGAACACAATTATTGTAATTTATTTGCCTCGATTTGTAATTTTTTTTTGCTTATAATTGAACCCAAATTCCGTCAACGTTAGGTATTTAGTAGGAACAGTGGGTATTTGATTTTCGAAATTTTGTCTGTATTCTGTTTTAAAGTGAAGCATGAACTTAAATGAAAATAAAAACAGAAACATTTTTCATTTATTTTGATTTTAAATTTTTTATAAAATGTAAATCTTTTTGTCGGACGTTATACTATTCTTCGGGTATAATCATAATCACGTAAGACCTTCAAACTATCGAAATTATAAGTGTGTAAGTAAAGGAAGAATTTGCTTAAGAGTTTGAATAAACTTTTTGTCGAATTATTTGACATTTTTACAGTTAAAGACGATTTATGAGATAGCAATACGAGAATATTAGATATTTCCTTAAAAATTGCTTAAAAGTCTCAGTAGAGAATGGGCAAGCATTCGCTTTTGTTAATTTCCCCCATTCTTCACAAAATCTTCGTAATGAAATTGTAAATAAAGCTTTGATTGTGTTATACTAAATTGTCATATTTATCTTAAGCTGCCATTGTTTTCCAAGAGCAGAGAACGCATGAAAAAGATTGCATAATATTATATCACATTGAAATTCCCAAAAAAAAAAAAAAGAAAAGAATATATTGTCGGTGAAACCAGAAAACAACTCAAAGGGAACCACAACAACAAGAAAAAACCCAAACTATAGTGAAAGAACGAACCGACGTTTTTTAATGAAATAACTCGACAAATAAATCTCACCAAGAATTGAATGTGTAGATGCATTAAAGCGTTACATGTACGAGACTTTTAAAGCAAGAAATTGCGGCATAAGGTTTTATTTCTTCTTGGAAATTTCATAGATCGAGTCGAGATATGTTTCGTTAAACAATAGAATTAAAGAAAGGAAATTTCATTGAAAAGAATTTGTAATTTGTGGGCATTCTCGTTGCTATATATTTATGTTACATCAGATGTCAGATCGCTGCTGGCTACAAGTCATAATTAATTGGCATTGAAGTTCTTAGTTTTGCGGGGTTATTCTTATTAGACAAGTTTTATAGAAAAATAGCCAAAAAACATCAGAAAAATCGAAAAAATTATTCTCGACAATCGAAAGATGAGGTACGAAACGAAAGTATATTCACTTTTTGGATGAAAATTTGGTGATTGCTTGAGCACTCTTTCAGTCCCCCGATACCCTAGACTCACGGTCTGGTTTTGGTACTTTTTGATAGCTTTTGTAATTATTGCAGTGTTAGCTGAGCGCTTTATAGTTGAAAATAAATAAGAGAATAAGAAATTTGGGGCTGAGGACAGCAAAATTATCATTCGAATTACTGCTTCAACCATAGTACCTAGCGACTGCTATGCGTTTACAAACCTCAATAGCATGCACGAGAGAAAATAATTAGGATTTAATCATGGAGTTATTGTGGACTCTGAATCGTGTCTTGGCAAATCATTCTATAAAAAAACATTGAACTGTTACTACATACTAAGCAATTTGTAACGACTTATAAAAGAAGAGAAAGAGAATTTCAGAAGATTTTTGTCAGCATAAGACTTATGCAATTTGGTTATGCGATGACATTTCATTAATGACATAACGACGTTGACATGACATGACAGACATTGAGCGATATATAATAAATGCAAACTTCAAATTGAAATTTTATCCATCGCTTCCCAGTGGATAAGCTTGTGTACGGAATTGAGTTGATGCGTCATTTCTTTTCCATTTTTTTTTTTTTTTTGCTTTGATTCTTTTTTTGATTATCTTTGCTTTTTATGAGGTTGTACTTAACTTGTTTTACTGTCAGCATGGAAACAAACTTCCAATCGATGATCATGCTGAACATTTGCACATACCTTTGGCTCCGACGGCAATGCCATATAGGTACAGTCAAATTTTCTGCACCCTCAAGACACCGGTCGTCTGGATCTTTGGATCAAATCGAGTTTCTTTCATATAAAAATCTGAACGGAAGCCAGCTCTTGCGCGTAGTCATAAAGAAGGCAGTTAGTAAATTCACTCAGGTCCGGTAGTGCTGAAGAAAATGTATAAGATTTTCAATTGAAAGTGTTTGTAATGTTGTTTGCTCATGTTTTTTATTTAAGACGGATACAATTGGCCTTTTCTGGGACTGACTCAGTTTGCCTTCGCATCACGCGTTGTTCCGAAAAACTATCGAAAAGAAATCTAGAACAAATTTTGTATCCCATCTGAGGAAAACATCAGCCTTGAGGTGTAGAGGTGAAAGTAGCCCTTGCTTATCAATTTTAACAAAAGGAATTCCCTTAATTTTTATAAATTTGAAATTTTCTTATTATAAATCTTTAAAAACACGGATGTGTTTCAAAATTTTAAACA